TTGTTCATTATGGTTTTACTATAGATGCGTGTTTTGCTGACGTCATGAATGCGTAGAAATGCTGTGGTTGGATTCTGTACTAGCGTTGGCTAGTGTATATTTTAACCACTACTTTTTGAAAAGTGCAAGTAGACTTGTCATCCTAGTGTAAAATCAGACTCATACAGGTTTCATGTGGTTTGAGTACATAGATGTCAAATAAAATCAAAATTGTTCTCTCTCTTTTAAAGAGTTGTATATTTTATGATCTGTAGTTTACTCGCTGGCTGTAAGTTGGAGAACATGTAATACTTTACAAATAGATTATTGTGTTGTGTAAAAATACTCGTAGTTTCAAGTCAATTAATCAAAATATAAACGTAAAAAATATACTACAAAACTGTATTGACCCAACATTAAACTCTGTTCACCTTAGTTAGTTCTAAAACTAAAAACATTAATCACACTCTAAAAGTAAACAAAGCAGTTTTTACCTGGTTAATCCTTCGACACACTGGAAACCCTTTCAAACTACAAACATTCGTAATCCAACAATTAGATCATATCAGTCGTGAAACAGTAGGACACGTCTATACTGATGAACAATCAGTTAGTGTAGAGTTGATATACTTAGGATACAGTTAAATAGTGTTATCCGAAACGAAATCCAAGAAAACACCGTCTAAGGTGCGTATATTGGATATTCAAACGGAGACGTAGGAAACCACTTTGAAATATTGCCGGGCCAGGGAGAATAATAAATTTTACGTTTGCGGGCTTCGTCCTGCGTCGGAATTGTTTTGGAGGGAACGGATGAAAACACGAATTTTCCCTATTGTTGTCCTCGCGTTGCAAAACTCTCGCGATGAAAAAGAGACGACCAGTACGTTTTGCTGTACAACCGTGTGCACAATTGCAAAATAAATATTTTACGAGGCTTTGGTAATTTGTTTTTTGAAGGGACTTTTTTGTGTGTGTTAAACGCCATTGGTGATTTTTAAGTTGTTAGGGGAATTTCCAAACTTTGGTCTTGGTACTTATGACAACCAAAGCATAATTTCTTATACTGTAATTTCAAAAATAAAATCTCGGTCGAAAGTCAAAACCGCTTAGGTAATCTTCAGATTTGAAGACAACACTATGCAATGTTTTAACATTTAAAATTACGATTCACCACATTTTTCCAAATTCTTTCAAATGTTGTGATTTTTCAGACACATAACTAATCAAATCCAAAACAAAATTTGTGATTAAAAAAAAGTCTTATTAACTACTATTTGTAAATAAAGAATTACTACATCGAAGCAGTGTTTGCAACACTGCACACAATGTCTAGTGCGATCATTTTTACCGATTTCATTACCTTTGTTCTTAGGAATGAGGAATCTCTCAATAAAGTAAAACGCTGCATTATAGCTAAATCATATGTTAGATATTTAGTTTACTTGATTGCACGCAGTGTGAATGGTCTTTGATGAGTAACCGTTTAATTGTAGGTATTTTGAAATAGCTTGTTACGAGGATGATATTTCACAAAATAGATCGTTTAATGTAATATGGTGGATTGCAGGTGTGTCGGTAAGCTGTGTGTTACTTTGTCGTGGTCACTTATTGTGCATCAGTCGCGTAATGACAAGTCATCTGCGAGTAGTTTATGTCTAACGAGTGTGAACAATGTAAATGGCCTACATGTCATAACCAGCTATGCTGCAATTATAAGTGTTTAATTGTGCAGTTAAAATAAATACTGTTGTTTTATTTGATTACTGCGATTAAAATCTGTACACATTTTGTTTACAGTCATTTAGTTCTATTTATTGACTTAAGCATAATAACTTGTATTGTTTACAGGGAGACTATTATAGGCTACTTTACTAAATATGTGTTTGTTAATAGTTTGACAAAAATTTATATTAGAAATACCGGTTTAGACGATTTCTGCAGAAAGAAGTTCTTTACAAGATAAAACAATTCTGCGAAATTATGATGTGTTTCAATGTTAAGTTTCATAACACCTGCATAGTGAATTTGTATTTTTATTACCGAAGTAATCTAGTAGAAGAATTTGATTGCTACTTTACTGGAGCTTGCTTGCGAGAATGAATATGTTAACTACGTACTAATTTCGTTTTTCTTTAATGACATAAATTTTTCTCTGTTACAAAATTTAGCTTATGGAGGCACTTCATAATTTCTTTACCGGAATTTTCTTCCAAAAAAGAACATCTTTCTGACACATGTTTCTAATTTACCGATTTTTTACTTGCCCTTCTCTTTGAAAATTAACATTTTACATCTCTGTTGCCAAAGTCAGCGAGACTTGAGTTTACTTCCTTGAAAGAACATTTTTCTGACACATATTACCATGTGTGTTATTTGCTCCTTTCAATAAAGATAGAGACACTTGCTTTAGTACTAGGATTAAGGTATATATCTGTATTCAGTGGCTTTGCTTAACAATGTCAGAATATTCTAGTCATTGCGATTTAATAAAATTTGCAATAATCAAGGTCAAGAGGCAATCATCTTTCACGATTTGGTCCAAACATGAAACATGATTTGGTGGTCCATGACGTAGGAAATGGTGAACTAAGTAGTAAGGCCAGCAGTGCAGAGTGTGGGAACTGTCTGTGGCAATAATGTATCTGCAATTCTAAAATGGTATAGGGAAGGAGGGCCAACAGATCCACGACGTAGGGAGTGGTGAAGGAAGTAGTAAAGACGAGCAGTGTGGAGTTTGGGAATAGATTAATCTATCTGCAATACTAAACTGCTATCAGATTAAACTAATGATTTCCCCCGAGCAAAGCTCGGTCCCCAGGTGCTATTTTTGAAAGTGCTGTATAGACAAGATGATAGCGTTGTTACTGGATAAGATCAGCTGATTCTTCAGCCAGGACCATTAATCGCCTTAACAATCATGGGCAGATCCGTCCATTTTCTAATCGTCCATAAGCTACATCTCAGGATTGAATTGGTAGCCTTGTCTTTACTCTGCTTTGTAACCACTCACCAAGATCTAGTTTACTTACTCACTCTCTCCTCAGCAGTGCGAGCTCTTCTATTCGGGGTTTCCTTGTTACCAATCTGTCCAGACGTCGGTCCTAGATCACTCCGCAGTTCCCCAGGCCACACTCTGTTGTCGCCCTACTTTTTCGCCGCTTCCTCATTTCCCACTGTTGCGCAACCTGTTACTCTTTGATCCGCAGTTGCAGTTCCGGTAACCTCCGCCGGGGAAACACATTCCACCGTCGTCCTTGGAACCGCGGGAGTGTCTTGGGGGTTTCGGTGTTTTTGTATTGTTTTAGTTTTTGCGAAACAGGTGTTTTGTTTTGCGTCATAGGAAATGCCGGTGCGACCTTGACCTGAGTAAGTAGGTCTAGTTATAAATGCGTTGAAAGCTCGTGGGTGTCTAATGGTATAATGGTTGTATGCATTTGTGTCGCCTCGAGAATTTTGGTTTTCTGCTACGAAACGCTTAAATTTTGGTTTGTTAGTATTAAAACCCTACCTAATAGTTGATATTAGCCAAATTATATGAAAATATTTCTATTATCCTGCAAACTACGTTATTGATTTAAATTTATCCTCTTTAAAGATAACAGGCAAGACTAAGTATTTTTAAGATTCCCTAAAACGATATTCGTGAGAAACATTTGATTTAAAGTATTAGACATTTTAAGGGAATTTGAATATTGAACATGCTTTAGATAGTGAACATGCTTTAAATAGTGAACATGTTTTAAATAGTGAACATGTTTTAATGAATTTCAATTACGACAAACAAGAAGAAAATACACATTCGCCAGTTTTTTTTACATATCCTCAGTTTCGGGTCGGGTGCACGAACTAATTTCAACGGATAAGTTGTTTTTATCCTTTTCCGAAAACTACGTAAGTTGGGGTCCACTCTTCGGCATCCCCTAAAATAGTAAACAAAATGTATACATCAAAATCAATCGCTATTGATATAGTATTCCTAAACATACATAAGAGAAGTATAGATGGTAGGCTTCCCAAAGTAGACGACTGACGATCGCTATTCGAGAGATTATCGTAGGTCCTCTTGTTAACGTTTCGAATGGGATTTTTTATTGAAAAAATTGAACTGTAGCTTTTTCTAAAGACTGATTTCTGCAAACCTCCTGAAACATTGACTAGTATATTCACTAGTTCAATGACGTAGCCATCTCACTATACACAGCGATTCGACAGTAGGTACATGCAACTTTTGTATGCTCCAATGAAATCAGCATTGTACATTATACTGTGAATCTATTCTAGGTAGACCAGCTGATTAGTTAATTTCTGGTCATTCACCCAGATGTTTAGAGTAAACACTATGTCAGCTGTTGTTTTGCTGAGTTTGTCCAACTCAGTCTAGAGTTCTCCTCACAGGTTATTGAGCTACTGTTGGTTTTTTTATTTGCTTAGTGGCATTTTTGTTGGGCATGTTTTGTAAGTACTGTGGAGAGGAGATTCATTCGAGTGTTTGGTGAGCCAAGGGACCTCTTGCCTACTAATTTTATAAAACTAGATTACTGTACCAAGAAAAATGTATGCTCAAAATGTATAGCAAATAAAAAAATCAGTGGTAATATGCCCGATGGGAAATTTCACGAATAGGCCAAAATAATAATGTTCTTAGTTTATTGTATGTTTCAAAAAGGAGAAAACACAAGTTTTGTGGATTGAATTTTTTCTTGATCTATCTACATTAAGTCAGCTAGAACTGAACTTTAGATACTGCAACTAGACGTTTCATCATATTTTAAATGTAAATCTGTTTTGTTGTGTGTATTGTGTCCGGTCGCGTTTAAGTGTTCCCCTTCTTCTTTTAGGTAATGTTTAGAGTGTCCGGTTAACTCTTTGGTAACAATACCAGAACATAAGCAACAGTTTACAAATAAATCGTATTTTTCATAGAGTTTTAAAGATCGTCTCTTGACCCAGGTATGATAAATCTATGAAGTGATATGTTTACTCTATAGTAGTAATTGACGAGTGTGTTTTGTCTGCAGGTTCTGGAATCGCCGGCAAGATGACTACTCTAGTACACAGCCTGATACACGGCTACCATGACCTCATGGACAATAAAAGTGGTAAGTCAAACAACAAAGTTTCAACAACAACTAGCTTCTTGATTGTGAGGTTAGCTTGTCTTTCAGTTGGATAGGTGATGTGTTGCAACGCGAGACGTTGCTAGTTAGAGATGAAAAAGCGAATGTGAAATTATATTTTTGCCTTTTGGACATAAACAGCTGCCAATGCCGTCTTATACAGTACAAATGTCAAATCTTTGTTTTCGATAAAGGGCGGCGTTTCGGATGATTGCACTCCCCATCTTCCACAAGTCAACTGATGGATTGCACACGCTTTCGAAACTTTGGCTTGTCTCTTCGCCAGTTCAATGACGGAGATTTGACAATTACCTTTGATTATCGAAGTAACCATCAAATTACTATGTAACTTTTATCTCATTTTGGCATCGTACGGTCAAATTTGTTTAGATTGTGTTTCTGCCACAGTTGCATGCAAATGATGAATATGTCTTAGTTGTATATCGTTGGTGATAGGAATGCAAGTTTTTGTCTACGCCAGCTACCTTTTTTAGGTTGAACGTTTAGGTAAAGTGAAAATTCAATTTTTGCCAGGTTTATTTGGAATTGTAATTGAGTCCAAAAATGTTTTTCGATCTAGGAAAACACATGTACCATCAGTGATGTATTCATAAAGTTATATATTTAATAATTTTCTCTGAAATAACCGGATAAGGAGGAACTACTTTTCAAACACAACATTCGTAGTATATATCCTGGTGACTTCGGTGATTTTAAAGAAATTTGAAATCGATTTTTTCCAAATAGCAAACGCTAAAAATTGTATAATAGCACTTTAGTTAGTAAATGTGTTGTTGCGTATAATGAGTGTAAATCTAGTTCGTTGAAGAGTATTTGAAGGTCCCTTTAATTTGTACACATGTAACAATTCATGCTGTATTAACCTGTAAATCGCACTCCCTAGGGATTCGATACCGTGTTGGTAAAATCCCTTTTGTGTTACTCACCTACACGTGGTACATGTACTACAGCTTGCTAGTCTCACAAGACCATTTAATCGGTGTTTTTTGAATGTTTATAGCTTTATGTAAAGTACTCTGTTTTTCCGTCCGATTTTCTCAAGGCCTTTGCGCTACACTAGTTATACTGTATAATAATTAGAACCGTTCCACGTGTCCTGTCTGCTAACTTACATTGTAGTTAATGAGTTTTATTTGAATCTCAAATGATCGTGTTGGAAGATTTTTATGACAAATTTGAGTGAATTTTCCTCGTCTAACCAGTCTATCCTGTTTTTAATTAAGTGGAAAATTGAACTTTGTATATTTTCCTGGGTTTGTTTTTCTGCCAACAAAGTTGACTCATTAAGATCACCTTGTTGTTAAAACATTGAATCTGCAAATATTGCTACTTATCGTCCTATTTTAAGATATGAAGCCGTCTTTATAATTTGATTGATTGATGAAAAACACTACTTATTTTTATGTTAGTTTTTGTGATGTTTGATGTCAATTAAACGAGTTACTTTTATTTGTGGACAGATTTTACGATTTATGCATCACTAGTCTTTAATTAGGCTCTACAGTAAAACCAAAGAAAAGGCTGAATTTTTCCACTAAATAGGTCGTTGTATTCAGTTGAAATAGTTTCAACGCTGCTTGTAAACAAGAAGAAACAAAAAGTAAACTACAAATCCTATCTAATATGATTTTGATACAACCAAGTTAAGAATTTTGTCGAGTTTATCCACAAGTATGATAAATTTATGAGGGAGTATGTTTGATTTATGGTGTTATCTAAGAATAAATCAGTTATGTTTGTCATGCAGTGCTGTTGAAGAAAACATTCAGTACCGCAACGGTAAAACAAATTTATATATTGCTAATGGTAAACGTTTCATAATGTTTGGTGCGAAAAAGACACATTCTCTAGGTTATATTTTACATACAGCTAGGCTCACACATCACTATTCAATGGTGCTTTTAATCGATCCATGTTTAAAGAGGCTGTCTAATTGTAGAATCATGAATGTACGAATGAAATAAATAGAGTAACGAAAACACTGTACATTTTTATTGAGGTAACATTAGGGCTATTGGACCTTTTTAGCGAATTTCCCTATAGGGAGTAGCTTAGGTGGCACGGTAAGACCTAGACCCGGGACCGATTGACTTTTTCATTATGATGTCCACCGAGGGCCAAAAAACCATTCTTTCAAATGTTATACGTATATATATCTATCTACATATCCGTGAACGCGATAACTCGAGAATTTGATGAAATTGGGTTTAAAGGTATAAGGCAGGATACAACTTGAATGAGTTCGCGAACCAGCACGATCGGACCATGGGAACGGGGATTTTACGGGGTAGAAATTTATTTTTCTCATTTTTGACCCTCAAAAGACAAAACTTCCCAATTTCTTTCTAGAACTTTTTAAAAAGTAAAAAACATTATCAAAGTGTTTCTGCGTGGTTATTGGTACCGGAGATAATTCAAAAAATTGTAAATTTAAAATCTAAATGTTATTCTTATGGAAAATATTGTAAAATTGTAGTTTGTTCGTTTGTGGATACATTTTTATCAAACTTGGCAAATTTATTAATTTTTTACTAAGCTATTAATATTTTACTAAAAACCACACTTTATAAGTTTCCTTCTAGCAGTAAACCTAGATACTCGTTATTTAAATAGATTTAATTGAAAATCAATTCAGACAAAAGGAAAATTAGTTTAGTCGGCAGGTTTGCTGCGGCGGGGGTATTATTGTTAACCGTGTTCATCACCACCATCATTAATAATCATTTCAGAGCGGAAATAAAATATTTGGTTGAGTTAAATAAAGCTTTGCCCAAAGCAAGGCTTGATCATCAGGTAGTTGGTTAACGGGTGATTTATAAGCAACCCTCATCTATTAGTGTTTTACCACAACCAGCTCAGTAGCCAGCATGTAACAGTTATCCTCGGTATGGTTCGTTGTACAGAGAAAGTCGCCAGGCGTAAATAATGACCATCCACCAGCCACCAGTCGAGGCTTTCATATTTAAATACACTTCCTGGTTTATCTTTTCCTCTTTAAAGTCATCTCTTGAACCGCGTTCGCCTTTTAGATCGACCCTTTCTGTTGATTATTTTTGCTATTAATGTAATTGGAATGTTTACAGTGTTCTCAACTGAATGCGTTTTTTCTCTCTTTAGGGCGAAACACAGTTTAACTTTCATCCCCTATTCATAGTGTATAGAGAGGGTATTATTATTTCGTTGAAATTTTTGAGTTTGGCTTTTGGTTGGGAATGTCCTTAATGGGGCCCCAGGACCCCAAAAGGTGGTTTTTGTAGTGATGTATTTTGTTTTTGTCACAACAGCTCGGACGAATTTGATTAAAATTCAGTATGTTATAGTCCTTATAACCGTAAACAAAATTGTTCAACCCGTTTGTTGTAAAAATTACGGTTCAAAGGTTATTGCAAGCTTTGTGATTTCCCGAAAAATATCATAGTTGCAAGTTACTCCCACTGCTTAGGCCTACCCATTATAAGGATTGTTGGCAAGCTAATTAGAACAAGATGCCTGACAGAGTTTATTTTGTCAAAAATGATCTCTTGTACGTATCTTCTCCTAATTTAAAAGACGTTTTCAGTAATACATTTCTTTCACCTCCATTTTTGCTTGATTGTGTACACCATTATTTATTTATTTTTACTCCAGCGTCCACCTTATCAAACACATTACATTGTGCAAATAGCACGTCGAAAGTACACACTAACAACTTAGTAACACTTAACACACACTAAAAACTTTAAAAGTAATAACGATAAAGTCATAATCTTTAAGTGTTAACTTTCTTAAAAGTCAAACGATACAGTCAACGATGTATTTATACATAACCAATGACAGATTTGTTAATCAGTGATTATGAAGTAGTGCAATGATAAGAAAGCAAGATAACAATGTGGATTCATCGTTAGTAGGCTAACGATTAATTACTATGTCAATCCACCAAGTCTAAGTAGACTATACGCGATGTTCTTGCAGTGCGAGACTAGTTTTTATGTGAGAGATAATTTATTTAATGACCTCAAAACTCGTCTGGCCTCGACTCTCGCCTCCTAACTTGTCAAGGCAACTTGGCTCCAAAATGTCAGTTTTTCTTCAGTTTCACTGAGCATCCATTGTTTTGGTTTTTACAATGCGATGTAATGTCAAACAATACGCAATCTTTGTTCCATGTCTGACTCGACGCTCTGTTACTCGTCCTGTCTTAGTAATACGTATTTAGATTTTTTTATTTTAAAATATTTTTTTCATTCAGTTTGTGAACTTTTTTAACGTGGGCTGTTACTGTTTTGTTCGCGTTTTTTTCGAACTGGTCAGCTCATGTTTTAAAGTTACAACAAAGAGAACACAAAAACATGTTTTATAGGAAATCATCTTAACTCTTCCATATAAATTTTGTAGCTTTTTAGTACCTTTCAATGTTTTATTTTTACCCCTTGGTTTTGAAATATTGCGTAAATTCTCTGCCTCAAGGTTTCTATCCTTTCTTCATAGATTTTTCCTTCTTTCATAAAAACGCATACTAAACTACCAAATCGCGGTATTAAAATACGAAACTAACCTCAAAAACTGTCGTCAGCTGGTCCATAAGGATAAATCTAAGGAAGTAAGTTTAATCTTGGGTTTAATCGATGATAATGGAATCAAGGTAAACAGCAAATGTTTACATCAAGCTATCATGCGAGCATAGGTAAGTAAGTACAGAGATGTCTGGGAGAGCAGGACAAGCGACAAGCAGTAAGCAGTGACAGACGACATGTTAATTGACAAATATTCACGTGGGCTGTCTGTCATTTTGCCAGCCGACAACTCACTGGTACTAACCATTGTTACGGTATATTTGGAACTGAAGACTTTATTTGGTAATTCTTACGTACCTTGGGATATCGTATTGTATATGAAGAGACTAACCATTGAATTTAGAGTTTCACATTTTGGATTATACAAGATTTTGTGGAATCGTGGTATATTTGTATCATCATATT